CGGCTCGTCGGCTGTGCACTCGTCCAGGCAGTTGTCAAGGCCACCTTGCAAACAGACGTCTTCTTTGCGCAGTCTCTTCTTGCACGTGCAACGGCGCGCAGCGGTAGCGCTCTCTGCGGAATCTGCGCGCCAAAATGACAAGCGAGCCACGGGCTCCGCGCTTCTATCGCCGTTCAGACGTGCAGCAATTTGCTCGCAGTGGCACTCAACTGCACTCCTCGGCAGCCGCGGACCTTGCGCCGCTTTCGCCGCGGAAATTTCCGCGGCGTTTGGTAGAAACCAAGTGCTGCGCGCTTCACAACGCATTTTGTACAAGAGTTCCTATTCCAGTCGCTGTTTGCGAACTTCTAAGTCGCCGCGTCTCTGCCGTCTGCGCGCCCTCTCGCAAACATGTAAAGGGACTAGTCCCAAACGCGCCCCCTGCCTTGGATTTTCCGAGTGTGTTTAGCGCTCATTCGGAAAACGTTCCGGCCGTGTTTTCCGGCGCGAAACCGGGCACGCTGGTGAGTGCGTCCAGCCACTCGAAGAAACGCGAGGGGTTGAAGTGTTCGGGGTTTTCGAAAAAGTCGCGCAGTCGCGTGGAGCTGAACGTGCCGCAGAACGGGCGCGAGCCGTTCTCGGAGCTGCTGTAGTACTCGCGCAGACAGCTCGCGAGACTCTGTCGCACAAAGCGATTGTACGCGACGAGGTACTGCAGTTGCGCCTGGTCCAGCTGCGCGAAGTCGATCAACTCCTTTTCGTAAGGCACGCACGTCAGTTGTCTGAAGCGCAAGTACCGCGCCGCGCTCGCCTCGACCGGCTCGGCGATTTGCATGTTTTCGATTCGCACCCCGAAGCTTTCGTTGTAGCTGCCTGGCTCGTTGCTCACGATCATGTTCTCCTCGAACTCCACGTCCGCGCAGCTCTTGCCGGACAAGTAGCAAATGTTCGGCGGCGCCTCGTGCACGCAAAGTCCGGCGCCGACGCCGTGGCCGGTGCCGTGCGCGAAGTCTGCGCAGTGCCGCCAGAAGTGCCGACGGCACAGCACGTCTAGCTGCGAACCGCGCACCTGGCGCGCGGGAAACACCACGTCCGCCAAGTCGATGTGCGCGGCCAGCACGCGAGTGTAAGTCGCGACCCACTCGCGCAGCGGGCGCCCGAGACAAATTGTGCGCGTCGTGTCTGTAGTACACAGTCCGTAGTGCGAGCCCTGGTCTATCAGCAAAATGCTGTTCTCCTGCACCGGAGCCGCCGCGCAGTCCAGCGGGTTGTAGTGGATGATCGCCGAGTTTTCGTTGCACCCGACGATGCTCGAGAACGCCGCGCCATCATGCCCCACAACCACGCGCTTGAGTTCCTCGAGATCTCGCACGACGTCGGCTTCCGAGTAGTCGCCCCGCGCCAGCAGCGCCTCGTTGTGCTTCAGGTAAAAAATCAGCAGCGTCAGCGCCAAACCGTCTGCTTTGTGGAAGCGCGTCATCTGCGCGACTTCCGTCGAGTTTTTCTTAGCCTTCAGCGCGCCGAGCTCCGACGCGCTCTCGAGCTGCACAGCCAAACCCAGCGCTTCGATCGCGAGCTTCAAGTGCGTGCTCACGTTGTTCGTCGTGATCACTGTAGTCAACTTTTCGGTGCGCTGCAACTCTTCCAACGTCGCGACCACGCCGTCATACTCGGCTACACGCAGCGTCGCTTGGTTTTGCAGCTCTTGCAGTCCACTCTCGCCCCGCACGCTTTGCTCTGTCTCGCGCGGTAAGAACCAGACGGCGCTGCTCGCGCTCAGCAGCAAGAACGAGGTCACTACGGGCGCGTGTTCGATCGAGTTGCCGCGCACGTTCAGCAGCCACGCAATGTCGTCCAACTTCGACACCAAGTACGCCTCGCCGGGTTTCAGCGCCCGCCGCGCGCGAAACTGCGCCAGCTTTTGCTCCACGGAGCAGCCGCTTTCCTCCGTACTCAGAAAACGCACCGAGTCTGCGACCCTGCCCGGCGCTTCGTTGCCCGCCGCCTCGTCCACCAAATTGCCGCCCGCCGCCGCGCAGCACGGGGTAAACACGCACTCCGCGGGCAACGCAGCCACTGTCTTTTGGTACAGCCGGAACGGCGTCACCGCCGCGTCGAAGCCCACTCGCGCCAGCTGCGCCTCCTGCAGCACGCGAGCGAGCGATCTGTCGCGCTGGTTGTGCGTCACCCAATGGGCCGAGCACAGCTGCAGCGCGGCTTGCGCGGTGTACCGGCTATCGGTCAGCAAGTAGTGCTTCGCGCCCGTGGTCACCACGCACGTGCCGTTGCTGCCCGTAAACCCGCTGACTTCGCGCACGCGCAGGTACGCGCGGGGCGCCTCCTCTGAGTCGTGCGGGTCCGCGTTGCTCACCACAAATGCGTCCAGCCCGCGCGCGGCGACGCACGCCTTTAGCCGCGCGAGCAGCGGCACGCACCTACAGCTCGCCATCTTCTTCGGAGCTAATTAAGTTCGCTAATTTGCGCCGATCTAATTTCCGGGAATGTACGTTAAATTTCTAAACGTCTTGCTGTTCGCGTTGAAGCGTTCTTTCGCCACTTCCGGGTTCCACTCTGCCGGGTGCGTGTAGTTGCACGCCGGGTTTGGGCAGTTCGCGCCGTATCTGCACGACACCTCCGGGTGGATGTAGAAGCAGCTGCAGCCGAAAGAACACTTGGGCCACTTCTTGCACATCTCCTCAGGGTGGATGTACTGGCACGCAGTTCCCAGCGAGCAGTT